ATTTGGGAAGAATTAGACCTAGAATCAGAAGAAGGTGGGCATAAGCGAGAATCGTCGACCGATTTAGATTCCATCTCGTTCTTTCTAGGTTTGATTTTTTTAATTTCTGTTTGTTTTATTCAAGTCAGTAAGTGGCCCAAGGCCTGGTCTTTGAACGTAACTAGTATGTACCCCTTGCCAAGCACGGGCTAGTACTACTATTTATTGCTTGTTAAGTTTCATGTGTATATATTTTTATTCTTGTGTATTGTTTCTAGTATTGATGTTAAAATCAAACTTCAACACCCTCGTGTAAGGAGGCATTCAAATTGTCCTACACCTTGGAGGTCATAATTTCAACACCCTCGTGTAAGAAGGCATTTAAGTTTTTTCCCTAAGGGGGTGTTAGTCAATTGGGATATTTTAATACAAATTGGGATAATTGTTAAAGCGGAATAATTTTTCGCTAGTGGGATATTTTAGTATGATAAATACGAACAATTTTGTGAAGCGGGATATTTTGATAAAAAAATATGGGATAAATTTTTATAATCATGAAATATATATTTATGCATTTTGAAGATATAAATATTAATTATGTATTTTAAACTTATTATTATTGATTTATAATTGCATACAAGAATGGTCTTTACTATTAAATAACTTTTCGTTAGACTATAAGATATTGACAATTATTATTATTATTATTATGGTCTAATGGTGGTAACCATAATAGGAAAGAAGTAAAGATAAAAAATATATAAAAAAATAAAAAATAACAAAATAAATATGAGTTCTAGTTTTTTACCACCTAGTTCCAAGCTAAAACTTAGACAAAATAAATATGAGTTCTAGTTTTTTACCACCTAGTTCCAAGCTAAAACTTAGAATAATTTGAGAGACTAGAACTCTCATTCTAGTTTTTTACCACCTAGTTCCAAGCTAAAACTTAGAATAATTTGAGAGACTAGAACTCTCATTTTGTTTAGAAAAATGAAAAAAGTAAAGTTTGTTATCATGAAACAGACTTATATATTGGTATATTTACATCTCTCCATGTTCTTTGATGTACTTTGGCTTGACGGCTTGACGCTTTCCTTTTCATAAAGAAATGTAAGAGTAATGTACATCAAAAAAAATTTATAACACGTCAACCATATAATTTATGGCTCTTATTTAGATGTGATCAAATCATTTACGGGACTACTACGGAATATTGGAAGCTGATTATGATGCTACTGAGGAAAATATTCGGTACAACGGTATCCGCCTACCATTGGTAGGTACTAATTTCTATCATATCCTTATCTTTTTTGGTGTACATCCTTGACATGAAATGTCATGTTTTGCCTATGGTGTATGCTAGCTAGGGGTGCATTCAGTTCGGATACGGTTCGAATATGACACTTATCATATCTATATCTACTTTTTGAAAACGGATACGGATATGATTCAGATATTCATCGGTAAGAAAAAGGCATTATCATATCCCGCCACTTAAATGCCGAAAATGTTACCCGCATATTAGAGAGTCTCCCCGCGTTACGAACCTATATACGGATCATTAATCGGATCATTTGCGCCGAATACAATGAATGTACACATAGGGTTGAACAATACATATACATAAATATATTACTATATATATATTATATTATATATATATATATATTAATATATATACTAGTATACCTTAGTATATATATATTGCCACAGCTTTGCGTGCTCCAATGAGTCGGAAGCGACGTTGGTGAAGTTTGTTTCCTTTCAAAAAGTCCTCTCACATTCGTAAAGTTTGAGCGCCATTAAGGTAGTGAGCAGAGGAGTTCCACACCCAAAAGGTTAATTTCACTTAGTATAAAGGCCGTTATTTTAGAAGTATAAATAAGAGAAGAGTAAGTATAAATTTGTTATGTGACAAATATACAACTAAATGAACGCAGTCGCTCTATTTTTTCCCTCCTTTTCTAGCATTCTTCTTTCTCCGTTTCTTATTGCTTCTGAACTATAAACTTCTCCAAACTTATTCCATCGTATGCCATATATTTTCCTGTCTTTCATTTCTCTTTATTCGCTGATTAATTTTGCCCCAAAACAAAATATTAATTTTCCTCACTACACCATCGTTAAATAGTTAAGTGATTTAATCTCTCTTTTATTTCTTCTATATGGCTTGTTTTATTTTCTATCTTTTTATCTTTTTATTTCTTTTATGAAACAACTTTGGTTAATGTTATAGCAAAGGAAAAAAATCTCTCACACACACACACACACACACACACACACCGACACACCCACACACACACCACACACCAATATTATAATATAATATATATATATATATAATATCATATATATATATAATATATATATATATATATAATTATATATTATTAATAATTATATTAATACTATATATATATCTATATATATTCATATCCCTGGAGAGCAAACGCCGGGAAAAGAATCTTCCAATTTTTAGTGCCTGTGATGCTAAATTTTTAGAAAGTAGGTGAATTTTATAATTTTTTAGTATATGCTATTTTTTTAGTATCCAGGAAAGAATTTTATTTGTCAGCGTTCAAAGAAATACAAAACTTGCATAGAGTATAAACAAAAAAACAAAAGAACGCATATTGCGAGATAATTAGGCAAACAAAGAAACGGTATTGGACTAGGTCATATTAGAAGTATGTTCAAGCTAGCGCTCGAGACAAAAATACCTCTTCCATATATCTAGACTAGTTTAATTATTTTATCCATAATGTAGAAATGATTGGGCTTTAAAAAAAAGTTAATTTGGCAGCCACTGAAGCCAATGCCTTCTCTCTCTCTCTCCTCGTTCGTCTGCTCTCTCTCATATATATATATATATATATATATATATATAATATATATATATATATATATATCTATAATATACGTATATATATATTATTATATCATAATTTGTAATAACTCGTAAATAACTAAAAATTAATATACTTGCAAGCAAAAAAAATCCAGAACATTACTACATAGATTCAGATATGCACTCTCTCGTGGTATATAACTTTCAAATTTTGACATTACAAACTTACAGTTACACATCAGTGTGCATTCTCTACTTATTTGTGTGTTGTGGGTATTGGGAATGGGGGTGGAATTGGCACTTAGGTATCAGTTGAAATTTTTGAGCACTAATTTTAGTAGCTTGTAGTTCCCAATTCCGAAGCAAGTTTTAGCTTATAACTTACTACTTTAATTCAAGGTGCATGTGCTCTAGAACTTCACAAAATTTTAAGCTAAATCATTTGTCAAACAAAATAGGTCTTTTCAGTTTTCAGTCAATAAAGGGTAGCAAATTAGGGCTTTTTATCAAATAAATTAGGGCTTTCCACTCAACGAAGGGCTAGCAAATTAGGATTTTTTTTTACCATACAGATTAGGGCTTTTCATTCAACCAATTAGAGTTTCGATTTCACCTTAGTGTTAGAAGAAACCGAGGAGGAGAATTTTCGGAGATCGATGTTAATGGTCAGTCGAGCTTGAAGGCGGAGGCTTGAAGTCGGTCGAAAGCGGAGCCTTGGAGACGGCTGAAGTCAAAGGCGGAGGCTTGGAGACAGCGGAGGTTAAAGGCGGAGGGCAGAGGTCGAAGGCAGAGGGCGGAGGTCAAAAGCGGAGGCTTGAATGGAGAAGGCTGAGGTTGAAGGCGGAAGTCAAAGGCGGAGGCTTTGAGATCGTCAATTTTAGACATAAGAACAGCGAAGGATTTTTTATCTCTGCTATCGGGAGAATTTTCATTTAGGGGTTGTTTGGTTGGTTTCCTAAAAACTAAAAAAAGAAATCGGTACAAGGAAATCAATAAAATAATATTTTTATCCATTTCCATCCCTAAAACTCACCCACAACATCTAATAAAATATTATTTTTATCCTCCAACTCATCTCATTTCATCTCCTTTCTTACTTTTAAAAATAAACCAAACGCAAGAAATGTGTCACATCATCCAACTCATCACATCTCATCTTATCCCATTTTTAAAAATCACACGCATCATCCAATAATATTGTGACAACTCATCTCATCTCATTAAACCTTTATTTCCATCCATTTCCTCAAAAAAAACAAGAAATTGATTTTCTTAAGCATGTGTCACATCATCCAATAATATACCTCCAACTCATCTTATCTCATCTATTTTCTTATTTTTAAAAATGAACCAAACACAAACAACCTCAAAACATCATCCAATAATATACCTCCAATTCATTTTCTTATTTTTTTAACCAACCAAACAACCTCAAAACAAGTTTTTTTTTAAAAATCACTCACATCATCCAATAATAAGGGGACAACTCATCTCATCTCATCTCCTATTCTATAATTTCCTTCTTTTTTAACCCAACCAAACAACCTCAAAACAATTATTATAGGAAATAGGTTTCCTATTCTTTAATTTCCAAGTTTTTT